AGCTCTGTCTCATTGGTGGCGGCTTCGTCGTAAGACCTTCGAGTCGGGGGTTCGAATCTCAGCCCTTACACATATATTTGAATTAGCACATAGGGTGGATTGAGGGTCCGCCCCTCTATCAGTTTTAAAGAATATATATATATATATATATATATATACACATACATACATACATGATAAGCTTTCGAATATGTGATTCAAATGCAAGAAAGTAATGCCATTAAAAATTATACCTATAAAGGAATGGTTCAAATTTTTATTTTAAAGAAAATTAAGAATTTTGTCTAAAAATAATAAGTATTTTTTTTAATAAAATTATAATATAGATGTGCCAACGAATAAAATTAAATATAATATTTTTAAGAATAGGTAAAGTGTAAAAAATATTTCTTAACTATTTATATGGGTTGATTTTAATTTCAAACACTTTAAATTATTTGAAATGTTTCCATAAAAAATTATAAATCTTAATTTAAAATAATTTAAAATTATTTTAATTATCGGATAAAATTTAAAATTAAAAGATAAAATATAAATAGTTAAGATTATTTTGGCCATACTCTGACCGTCCATTTCTAATTAAACGAGCGGTCGAAGATGGCGATCCGCGTGCTCGGGCTCATCCCGCTCACAGATCTTGACCTATAAATACACCGGCGCGAGTGCTGAAGATGGACTGCCTTCAGTTAATTGACGTGCGGATCGTCTTCGTCGAAACTTTAAACCTTGATTCCTGCTAATGGGCGGAAGGGGGAAGGAGGCACCGAAGAAGGTTACTTCAAGGAGCAGTAAGGCAGGCCTTCAGTTTCCTGTCGGCAGGATTGCTCGTTTCCTCAAGGTCGGTAAGTATGCCGAACGTGTTGGTGCTGGTGCGCCGGTTTACATGGCCGCTGTCTTGGAGTATCTTGCTGCCGAGGTATAGATCGGAATTCTTTCCTTTGTTTCTGATCTTCTTTTGTTTTCTCATGTAGCAGAAATTTTTGGACAGACTTATTGGTTTTCCTTGCCGATATTTAAATCTTTTTTTGGCATGTAGAGGATTTTGAGGATTTTTGGTGTTGCATTAATTGAATTTGATTTATTTATTTGCTTTTTATTGTCTTCTATGATTTGGCCTGATTGACGAGTTGGATTATTAGGCATCAAAGGTTAATGAATTCGATCTTCTATTTAGATTTTTCGGAATAGAATGAGGATTTTTGGTGTTGCGTTAAGTTCTTGAAATTTAATTATTCTGTGAAAGAAATAGAATGTGACCTATTTAATTTGCTTTTGATTGTCTTTCATGATATTGCCTGATTGACGAGCTGGATTATTTGGTATCGAAAGTTAATGAATTCAATCTTATATTCGGAATTTTCTGAATAGGAGGATTTTTTTTTTTTTTGTTACGCCAAGTCCTTGAGTTTAATCATTCTGTGAAATAACAAGAATGTGGTTTATTTCATTTGCTTTTGATTTTCTTCTATGATTTTACCTGATTGAGGAGTTGGATTATGAAGTTAATGAATTCGACCTTGTATTTGAATTATTCTGAATGTCATGAGGTTTTTTGGTGTTGCGTTATGCTCCTGAAACTTAATTTTTCTGTGAAGCAAATAGAATGGGATTAATCTCATTTCTTTTCATTCTTTCATGATTTTGCCGGATTGACGAGTTGGATTATTTGGTATCAAAAGCCATTGATTTCAACTTTATATTTGGATTTTTTTGGAATTGAATGATGGCGCGTTGAGTTACTGTTATAACTTGGTTCTTCGTTTTGATTTTTAGGTTCTAGAGCTTGCTGGTAATGCTGCTAGGGACAATAAGAAGACTAGGATAGTTCCAAGACACATCCAGCTTGCTGTCAGGAATGATGAAGAACTCTCAAAACTTCTTGGCACTGTGACCATTGCTAATGGTGGTGTGATGCCTAATATTCACAATCTTCTCCTCCCTAAGAAGACTGGTGTAGGATCTAAGAAACTCGGTGCTGAGGATGACCACTAGGTTTTACATTTACTAGTTTTTTGATCTTTCTATTTTGAAATATAGTGCTTTGTATATCAGTAAACTTCTGATGATTTCATCTACTTGGAATGCTTATCTTCTGATGATTTCATCTACTTGGAATGCTTCTTTTCTATCGTGCAAGTGTTATTGAAATTGATGGCTTTTTTGTCTTGCTGATTCCTGGCGTTGGTTCTGCGATTACATAAGCATTTCTGATTTAATATGTAGAGCATTATATTTTTCTTTGATAGATTTCTTTTCATCAAGATTTAGGGATAGTTGCATTCTGATCACCCGAAGTATTGATATTTACAAATCAAACGCTCAGTGGATTATTTTGAACTACCGAACTGATGTAGTTATATGTGCCACTATCAAACCATTGAGAATTTGATAAATATAAAAAAATATATGTTGGGGTTTTATCATGAATTTTGAAAAGTGGATGAAAGAGTGGATGATTTGTAAATAGAAAGTTTTGGGTGGTCTTTTTTATGTAATTGCCCAAAATTTAGTTTTTTTTTTTTTTCAATTTAATGAATAAGACTTTTTGTTTTTGCTTTTTGAACCAGCGTGTGAACTAAAATGTAAAATGATGATGTATGATGGTTATTTATCCATGAAATTTTGTTGAACGAGGGCTTTAGTTGAATATACTCTGGTTTTTTTTCATAATGATTCAATTTAGTATACTCGGAAAGTTGTTGGATAGATGCTTCAATCTAGTATATTCTCATGTATGGATCAGAGATAATTATTTGCACTCCTTTAATTTCTTTACTGTAAATCAATGTGAAAATATCAGAACTATTAATGCTTGCTTGGCAACAATACTTGGGTACTTTTTTATGAAGTTATTGAACAGTATGCTTGGCAACAATATGTATTTTATCTGTCATCGCTAGCCGGGAAGGTAATGCTCATAATAGTCATTCAAATTTATCTCTCGATCATGTGTATATAAATTTCACCATCCTCCATAAGCTTGGTTGACAATCTCATGATGAAGTTCATTAATTTGTCTCAAACATGCCTAATGTTGGAGGAATCTTGCAAAAAGTATTATTTGGTGGGTATTGGGTGTTCATTGCAAGTAGATTTTTTAAGTTATTTCCAAACACAAAATATTATATACCAAATTTTGAAAGGACAAGTCAAGTCATATGCGAAAGGAAAGAGATGTTTAATAAGTGTCACTCATTTTTATATGGTGTAATTAAGAGTGCCAAGTGTTTGAAAGAAAAAAATGAGTTATTTTAAGGGAGAATTTTTCTTTTAGGATTTTAGATGGTTCTCTACGTTCGTAGTTCAATTAAATTAGGACGTGGAAATGCAGGTCTCGTATTTCCATGTAATAAAAAAAATGAAGCCCGATCGGCCCAATGTCCCCGCCTTTTCGAGTTATCCCGTCTTTTTGGTGTCCTCCCTCTGCCTTTTTGGATTTATATGCCTCAACCCCTCAGAAAATTCTATTTTGTCATTTACAATAGAAAAATAAAGTTTCAAAAAGTGTTTTTTGCTCTGTTAGGGTTTAGTCATTGTAGTTTTACGGTCAATTTGTTGCTTTGATGGAGATAAATTTTTCTCTTAATAAAGAAATTGGGAGCATGAATGACAAAAATAATGCCAACGCGTTTGGAACGGATGTGAGATTTCTTGCTTAAATTTGTTTTTCAATTTTTACTTGGATGGTCTTGAGGTTATTTTTGGATTATTTTGTGCTTAGGGTTTAGTTATCTACGGGTTATTTTGAAGAAATAATCAATAATTTTAGAATAATCTAAGAATAACTGAAGAATAACTTGAAAAAAAGTAACCCACTAGTTCTTTAGAGATTTTTGGGTGATTTATATAAGATTTTCGGGTGATTTATATAAGAATAACTTCAAGTTACTTTTTTTCAAGTTAACCCACTTATCCTACAAAAATCTTATATAAATCACCCGAAAATAACCCATAATTCATCCATTAAACATACAAAATAATTTCAAATAAGACGTTTGTAAGAATTAACCATCATCGATAAAACGTTCTCTTCGGATTTGATTTTTTATCTTATGAGACGATAGAGTCCTTCAATTGGTTGTTTAAAACATTCATTTGAATAATGGATGGTAAGCATCCAATTACAATTTTTACAGATCAGGATCAAGCGATGACAATAGTCATTGAAGATTTTCTTTCACTCACAAGAGACATTATGCCAATGACATATCTATAAGAAATTTTTGTCGAAAGTTCATTATGGTCGAGGAAACCTACACAACAACGTGTGGCTAGATGCATTGTACCATAGGTGTGATTCCGAAAAAGAGTTTGAAGATACTTGTGATATAATGATGGAGCGAGGAAACCTACACAACAACGTGTGGCTAGATGCATTGTACCATAGGTGTGATTCCGAAAAAGAGTTTGAAGATACTTGTGATATAATGATGGAGCGAGGAAACCTACACAACAACGTGTGGCTAGATGCATTGTACCATATAAGACATAAATGATCAACAATATTCAATAAAGAAATTCAGAATGTGAATTTGATCTACGCAAAGAAGTGAGTGCACAAATACTGTATGTCATTATGCATTTAAGCCCACTAGTTCTCCCATTTGTTGTTTTCTAGGTCTTGAAAATATTATGAAATCTTGGAGAAGGAACGAGAAGACGATGAAGTCTTCAAAAGCTCTCAGAAAGTTATTACACCAGCAGTTAAAACAAGTCCAGTGTTGAGGCAAGCTGTTACATATTACACCCGGATGCTCTACTCCATGTTTGAGGAACTAGTGGACTTAAATGCATAATGACTGGATTAACTGTCGAGTTGCATGGGCTATGTGGATTAGCTATCGAGTTCTCAGTTAATAGTCAATTTGAATTCTATGTTAGAAATTTGGATAATCAGGACACGAGTAGAGCCTGGATTGTTACATTTGACAGGGTTAATTGCGACATCACCTTCAGTTGCAAGAAATTTGAAATGATTGGGTTGCTTTGTGCTCACTCTCTACGTGTTCTTAATGCGGTAAATTTAACAAAGATTCCCGAGAAATATTTGTTATTGACATGGTCTGCTAAGGCAAAAAAAGAAATCTATAATAGTTTTGGATACAAACATATGAAGGACTCTCAAATGTCCGACAAAACTTCCCGTGGAATCCTATTTTGGTCACACACTCAGAAGTTTGTCTACCAATTAATTAATAATGCAGAAAGAAATGAACGTGCTGAGACGTATATGCTGGAATCATTAAAAACACTATCTGTAGGTGTTGATGATATATTAAATGGGCAGGATCCTAAACCAAATAAAAAAACTAAAAAAAAGGAAATCGCAAAACAGAGTGCATTGTGAATGATCCCGCAAAAATGGGGGACCTAAAGGTGTTTCTAATACAGGTTGAAATGATATTGGGAAAAAAACAAGAGAGTTAAGAGTATATATTTCTACATTTTTTTTATTTACTATTATATGTAACATTAATTTTCTCTAACTTGAACCACTGTATGCAGGAAGGGATCAAGAAGCATACACGAGCCAAGAACCGCAGATCTATTACGACACAAATATGATTGCAGAGGACATTCTATGAGTCAGGTATGAAACTGAAATCTCGTACTACTATTCTGGTTGTACATTAAAATATGCTCATTAACATTCTTTTCTATTTACAACAGAAAAATGTCACACTGGAACCAACATACACCGCAATTCTGATGCATTTTATTAGTGAGATCTAAGCCAACTGAGATAAACACCTTCGATACTTGATCTTTTTATTAACAAAATAATGAATGCTCGCAATGTATATAAAGAATTGTGTAATGTATGTGTACATTTGATTGTTTTGATATGTTGTTATACGTACTGTACTATATAAATCTGTGTTGAATCTATTGTAAGGAACCTAGCAATAATCGTGCAGTAATCCTGTAATAGTACCTCAGCAATAATCCATCAATAACCCAGCAATAACTCAACAATAACTCAACAATAATTCATCAATAACCCAACAATAACTCATCAATAATCTATCAATAATCCAACAGTAACTCATTAATAACCCATCAATAACTTATCAATAACCCAACAGTAATCCATCAATAACCTAACAATATCCCAACAATAAACTAGCAATAACCTGGCCAAAACCTGCAATTATCATTAAATAACCCAACAATAACCCAATGATAACCCAATTATAACCTAACAATAATGAAGCAATAACCAATCAATAACCCGACAATAATTTGGCCAAAACTCGCAGTAATCCTTAAGTAATCTCGCAATAACCTAACAATAACTCATCTATAACCTAAAAGTTCATCAAGTAACCCAGTAATAAGTGCAATAAGTCTTAAGTAACCCAACAATAACCCATATAGCAATTAAGGGAACAACACTTGGGCTATTTTTAGGTTATAGTTGGGTTGTTGGTAGGTTATCTACCAATACCCCAGCCCTAACCTAAGTATAACCTGAAAATAATTGATTTATAACCTAAAAGTAACCCAAGTGTCGTAGGGTATTTCTAGGTTATTTGCAGGTTATTGTTAGGTTACTCACATATTATTCAAGAAAACGACACTTAGGTTATTTTTATGTTATTTTCAGGTTATTTTTATGATATTTTTAGATTATTGTTAGGGTATTTTCAGGTTATTTCTATGATATTTTCAGGTTATTGCTAGGCTATTTTCAAGTTATTTCTAGGGTATTTTCAGCTTTATGCATAAGTTCGCAAGTACAAAGTTATATGCAGTAATAGTTTAGTGCAACAAAATAGACAATCATATAGACATTGACCAATAATTCAATCATGTTTATCATCTGAATAATTCAATCATTGACAAAATCAAATCAATCATATTTATCAACAGGTTACTATCAACATTTCAAACATATTTACAGAAAAGTACAGACATACAAATATCATCCAAATAATTTATATCTACAAATTTCGTATGCAAGTTCTGCCCTAAATCGAGGCATATCAGTCTGTCAGTTCTGTTTATCTTTCTAATCAATTTTGCTTTTTTGTACAATTGTTTCTATATATTTACAAACAAAAATACCACAGTCAACACTATTATTTTGTGTGGGAAGGCCGCTGGTCGTGGTAACATTCTATTTAGTCGGGTCATTGAGGAAAGCTTTCCCGACGTCCTTA